CAAACCACTTTCGTTTATAAGATAATTGATAAGTATGTACATTTCAAGCTACCTATATAATTTCATATAACTAGCTATAATAGTTTGTAACTTCCGAAGAACTGATCTCTTTTCAATGCAATCTTCTCGTCGTATCACAAAAAGGCCACACTGCATAACAGTAATAAATGACCACTACCGTACTGCTGATGACGTTATCGTATTCCAAACTGAAGATAATTATTGTAGATTTCGTATCAGCAAAACCCAGCGCGGTAGGTTGCGGAACGATCGAAACTTATTTATTATTTTTACAGGTACATAGATCAAATCTAAATCTTAGGGAATATAATTAAGACATAAATTAATTGGAGTAAAGACCCTTTCGTCTCGAACACACCCTACTATATCAATCCAAATAGGTGATACCTATAATTAACTTTAAGATATTAAAAACTTTGATTTTGAGATAAGGAAATATTGGCCTTTACAGCCATTTTCCTACAAAGAGATATGTACGCCTTGTGAAATACGCATTACAATTCACATTTTATATTACATATACCCAAAATTGTTTGTTACCGACACAGTGGCCCGTATGAATAAAAGTAAGCAAATGCTTATACTTGCAAAATTCAAAGTAAATACTCGTACGTGCTGCTTCGCACTGGGCGACTTAGCAGCGCTAGCAGAAGGACAGGACGCAGTGCAGCGCTGCTAAACCATGCTAAACAGACCAGTATGAAGGGGCAGTTACGAGTATTTACTTTGAATTTTGAAAGTATAAGCATTTGCTTACTTTTATTCATACGGGCCAGTCTCCGGGTTAAATTAACTTAGATTTCGTGAAAAAGGTTAGTATTAACTGATTCTATATATATTCTATATATTGTTAACTTATTTCATAGTGTAAGTACACTATGCTTACTTCTGGCGGTCTTTCAGCTGAGCGCTCGTAGAGAATTTTTCTCCAGTTTACATTTACCATCAACAGGTGGAAGTATGAGGAGCAGATACGTCGTATATTCCAAGAATTTTGGATTTATTTACACGCAAAAATACGGGGTGCCATTATGTATGGAATACCTATAGTATATATCTCGGCAAATATCGAATTTATACCAAATTTTTCTATATCAATTTGATTAACATTTTATTTCCCATAATAGGTCAGCATTCAGTTGTTTTTATTTCAGAAAACAAATGAGTAACGAAAATCAATTGAATTATGGCAGTGCACCTTCATTAGGCTCATTTGATAAAGATTTTTTTTCTCTTCCCGGTGATGTAACATGTTAGTATCCTAATACAAGCAAATTAAAAAAAAAAACGTATAATCACATCAATAACATAATCTAGATATCCTACATCATAATAAAACAAATGAACGTGTACGTTTCTTATTAAACCATGAAGACAAAATGAAATTAGCAATAAAATGGTAAATCAAGACACTATTTTCTACATATACAGATTAACATCGTTTAAAAATTGCTGATATAAAGAAAGGGCCCTCAAATATTTTTGAAGTCGTTCACGAACTCGGTATCAAATGCCGATTCGGCCGCCGACTCGACCGGGAAACCGCTTCGTGTGTCTTCTCACTAATTGTGATGGGCCGCTTTATTTGAAAGTCCCGGAGAAAGAGATTTTTTATAATGGATGTGGTGTTTTTCGTTAAATATTGGAATGAAAGAAAAAACGTGGCTGGTTTCTGACGGTTGGAAAGCGTGTACGTTTCTTTAGCCTAATTTTATTCAGGCTGTCCGCCCGATTTGACTATTTGAAGGCGTAGTTTGTCAGTATCATAATTTTGTGCAGAAGCAAGTTAACCAAAGTTGTGTGAGAAGTTTAAAGCGATTTGTCCTCTTTGTGGAAAAAGTCTGCCAAGTTAACAGATTGTACAGCCTGAAGAGCCACCGGCAATTTGTTCATCAAGTTAATGCTGTTTGCCATCAAGTAGTTTTGTGTGATAAAGAAAAGTGAAGCGCAGAACCTGTCAGAGTTTGTGTGTTAAATTAAGTAAAAATACCTTGATTAAGTGCACCTTGTTATCGCAAATCTTTGTACGTCCAGATTAGTAAAATAAAAAACTGTAAGTAAGTAATTTAAGATTTTTAATATTTTTAACTGGTGCGGGGTAAATTTGTCCAAACTAGCTTTGTAAGTGTTTCTTTCTTTGTTTTATTTTATGTGTTTCGGAATAAATTTTTGTCATTGTCACATTAATTAATTGTGTGTTTATTCGAATCGTTTGTGTGATCCGGATAGAGTTTTCCTGTCAGATTTTTCTGCTCGTGTCCAAAAATTTTGTCAAGTGTTAATTAAAATTTGTGTAGTTAATCCTCTGGACTTTTCGGAAGTTGATCGACAATACTGGGTCTCCCAAACCATTAATTTAGGTTAACATGGGGATTTTTCTTTCTAGCAGATACCGAAAGAGTACGAGGAGAGATTATAAAAATTCTATGTTTGGATTTTGATTTGCTTGACCTAGTTAGGCAAGTGCTTTGTGGTCATAGTCTAGGAGGTACTCATGTCACGTGTGCATTTGTACGTCCCCTGTTTGGTTGCGGGGATTTGTTAAGTATCTATGGGCGTATTAAAAAAATGTGGTCACAGTTTAAATCATGGTCGTTGCCACATTTAAAAAGGGCCCCCACGTGGCTAGATTTTTTATTTAAGTACCTCAGACAATAGTTCAATTTTAATTTTTTAAAGAAAGTTTTAATGAAGTTTTTTGAAGGCAAACAAGTTTTGTAATTAGAAATTATTTGGTAAGCTTGTTAATTTTGTTGTAATTACAATATTGTTATGATTAATTTAATTAAATTACCCAGTAATCTAATTTGTTTCTCTAAGGTTGCGTTCTTCGATTGATAAGATGGCCGGTGGACCTCCCCAAATGATTCTTTCATACGCAATATTGAGAAAATCTTAAATTCGGTGGTTTCTACTCAGGAATATCGCTGTAGAAAGCACAGTCCGGTAAGTAATAATGAATATAAAAGTAAGACAGTGGTAAGAAGCGTAAAAATGATTATTCAAAGTGAAAAGGTAAATGCGTAATTGCTAACATACCGAAACACGGCCTTAGAATTTGTAAAATACGTCTGCAAATGCGTCATCGAAGTGTCGAAAGCAAAATAACAAGAGAAAACTTCACTAAACTTATACAGCATCAATACATTTCCCAAAAAGGCTGACAAAAATTGTCGAGTAACTGTAACGGCGTTTTTTCTTCTGCAAGTAATGTTCAAATCTTTGTAAAAAGAAGTGCGTGCGCCAAAAAAAATTTAAGAAAACTCTGCACGACCTCTGTCGGCAAAACCAAGAACTATGTGAAAGAAACATATACTCAGATAATACCAAATTTACTACAAGAACAAATTACATCTAAACTAGTGGATTACAAAGAATATACCTACATGGCGTAAGGACATAAATAAGAGCAAGAATACTGCATTTGAATTACGAGCAAAAATAACGTAACACAATCTTCACATAAAATGCAATGCTATACATGAATTTATGATCTAGAACCGTGTAAAAAACTTAATCCGTTGGACTATGGTTATATATAGAAATGACGGTATTTTAATTCCACAAGTGACAGATCCAAAGGACCTTGAAGATTTTCCTACGCCATGTAATTGCCAGACGTGCTTCAGACAAATGGTATGCCCTGTAAAAGGTTGGAAATAATGTGTTGTGACTTTTGTAAACGTAAAGGCAGTGTTTTAAACCAATGCAAGAACTCTTATTCATAAGTAATTTAAAGAAGTAGTAATACATTTTCATGTCGTGTGCTTTCAAAATAGGTACTTAAACAAAGAATTTAGCAACGTGTCGACCATTTTTAAGTATGGCGACTAAACGACCATGATCTCGACCACGTGACCAATGTTTTTTTTAGCTCCTATAGGTGTTTAATAAGGATCCGCTCAAAAACTTAGGGGACATACAACTGCACAGGTGACATGAGGTAGCTCCCGCACTATTAGTGAAGTTGACCGCATGTAAATTGCAACCGTTATATTATTTGCTTTTTCATCGAGGTATAGAGGCATTTGTGCAGGTACATCATCGTAAATTCATGTCATAAGTTATTTTTAAAAAAAATTCTAAACTATTCTCGAAGTTTGGAGGTTCAACCCATCTTATGTAAAGCCCATTCCACTGTTATTTAATCTCCGTAAAATTCAGTTAAACATTTCTTGTAATACGATGATGTAGTTCATTTAAAAGGATACGTTAAAAAGGATCTCTCTAGATAATACTGTCCGGAAAGTGTGATTATTAATATTGTTTGATGTACATAAATTGACGTCCAGTAAAGAACAAAACAAAAATGAATACTAGTGCGAAATATTTCTGTGGCCAGTTGATTAACGTTTTCGTTGCTTTTGAGATAATTGCTATTAGCATGCTCTATAGGGTCAAAGAATTAAAGTAAATAATGAATTTGAAATAAATATGAAACCGAGTATGAAACCATTACATATACTCTTTAATGTGAACTATCTTATATACAATGTACGATACCTAGACAGGTACAATAGGGAAGACTATACTAATAACAGTGATTAATTTTTTTACGGTTCATATTGGTGCAAAATGTTCCTAAACAAAACTAAGTAAATAACACTATAATAATAAAGAATTGCAGCAGATTTAGAGAGTTCGCCTGTTATCGAAATGTTAATGTCGCAATATATAAACAATTATTGGTCATTTTTATGTTTTTTTTTTCATATGAAATGATCCGTCAGTTGCAAAATACAATTTGTGTTTTAAGTATGCTAGTCAACATATTATTATATTTGATTGCCTTTCCGTATTCTGGAGAATGCAGTGACCAAAAACTCATAGATGATTATGTGAAACGTATTGCAGAGCTTAAAGCTAAAGCGTACACCAAGGCATTACCGAAAAATGCGTATGAACATGCCCCTAAATCAGGGGCCGTTGTAGGTCTGAAGAATAAACTTTTAGTGTAACGTATTACATTGCATTTATAGACTATGGAACGTTTGACCACATCATCGTGGGCGCGGGAGCAGCTGGGTGTGTAATAGCGAACCGGCTTACCGAAGATAGCTCACGTCGTGCACTTCTCCTCGAGGCTGGTGAACATGGTACGGATTTGACAGATATACCAGCAATGAGGAATTATCTAACCGATTCCAACTACAACTGGGGCTACATGTCTGTTCCGCAAACTACAGCGTGTTTAGGTAGAGTACCTCGAGTATTATGTGTACTTACATATCTAATGTTGTTCAGGCCTTAAGGAACAACGTTGCAGCCTACATCGGGGTAAAGGGATTGGCGGCAGCACCATCATCAATGGTTTGTTTTACGTCAGAGGGAATGATAGGGATTATAACAACTGGTACAGTCAAGGAAACGTCGGATGGTCCTACAAGGACGTGTTGCCTTATTTTAAAAAGTCAGAGAACTACTTGGAAGGTGATCCCAGGTACCACGGTAAAGAAGGATACTTAAACGTGGAAACCTGGGAAGAAATAAGCATGCAGACCCAAGCGTTCTATGATGCACATAAGTTGTTAGGAATGAAGGAGTTAGATTTCAACGGGGAAAGCCAATTAGGTTATGGGAAACCGGAGTTCAATATTAAACACGGAAAACGACAAAGTACAGGGAACGCATTCATATTACCTATTTTGAGCAGATCAAACCTTGAGCTACTGACGAATAGTTACGTAATCAAAGTCCTTATTGATAAGCAGAAGAGAGCCTATGGAGTCCTATTCACTAGAAATGGAAAACTTTACAAAGCCGTATCTCGTAGTGACATTATTCTTTCAGCGGGTGCGTTTGGTTCCCCTCATTTGCTAATGCTGTCCGGAATTGGCCCAAGATCTCATTTGGAAGAGACTGGCATATCTGTTGTCGAAGATTTGCCAGTTGGCGAACTTCTTCTTGATCACACAGGATTATACTATTTAGATTTCGCTACTAATTACACCGAAACCGAGCGCCCCTTAGATGACCTTGTGCGGAGGTACATCGCAGGAGGTGGTCCACTGGCCAATGCTTTTTCAATGGATGGTATTTCCTTTTTACAAACAAAGCGATCGAAGAACACAAAGTACCCCGATGTAGAGATTCTAATGATCCCTTCCATTAACAGTGACGAATCCACTGCTAAATTCTGGAATATCGAGGAGAACGTGTTAGAAGATGTATTAAAAGATAATGATCCGAGGCGTAGCTTTACGATAGCCGGTTTTCTCATGCATCCCAAGTCGAAAGGATTTATGCGCTTAAATTCCAGCAATCCCTTTGATTATCCTGTTATCAACCCAATGCTGCTTTCCGATCCCGATGGGGTTGACATTGAGACCATGTATCAAATGATTGAGTTAGTGTTGGAAATGGTAAAAACGGAACCATTTAAGAAACTTGACACAAAACTAAGACATGCGCCACTGTCGGCATGCAAAGACCATAAATACAAGTCACGAAATTATTGGTACTGTTTTCTGAGGCATCTTGCTCTACCTTTATTCCATACGGTTGGGACTTGCAAAATGGGCATCCATCCAAGTAAGGGAGCTGTCGTGAATCCGGAGCTCAAGGTGTTCGGCGTTGACAATTTGCGAGTTGCCGATGCAAGTATTATGCCATCAACCACGTCGGGTCATACTAGTGCACCTACTATGATGATTGGGGAGAAAGTGTCAGACATAATACGTTGCACCTAGTCTTGTAGAATAAATCGATTTTTAGCGTCCTTAGCAATGTAATTTTTTTTAAATTTACAGTCATTCATAACTAAGAACATCATGAATTTAACATTCTTTGCATCGTTTTACGTAGACGCGATAGACATAATCATTTTAAATTATGATGTCTTTTTAACAAATTAAGTTAATAACAAAAAATAATGAAATCTAATTGCTTAAGAAATGGGATTTAGTATACCCAAAACCAGAAAATGCGTTTTATTCGTTTGATGAATTTTCAGCAGCATCAAAAGGACGCATTGCATAGACTATTAGATTTAATCTGTGATAATGTTTATATACACTGTGTAGTTACTTTTATATGTATTTTTTACTTCTAATGTTGACCAATGTAAGTGCATGGCACATAAACAGGGCTAAATATATTATTATTATGGTCGGTGTATCTTGTGAGAACTCAGGTCTAGCCTGGTTAACTAATCGCACGGATTAAAATCAAGTAACGATTAGTGTCTGTGTCTGGTGAAGTTATGTAGGGTCCTAAAAAA